GTAAATATACTGCCTGAACACAGTCTGAGAGGCAACACAACACTAGATTTTGAAGATTATTAAGCATTTTCATTTTGACCTTACAGCTCAAACTAAATAGATTCGTTTTTATGAACTTGTGCAGCAACAATTCAATCATCAGTTTTGTACTAAGTCGACCTGTTTGACTTTTGACTGCATTCAGTCCTGAAACCGGTATTATTTGTTAATATAAACTAACGTGGTCCCTCCACCTGTTCATCCTCCAGTCAAAGATTGTAAAATTACCTAGCTCTCAAATATTCTGCCATAATTACCTTCAAATAAACTCAGCACTGTCGAACTAACCAATAAAATATAGGCGCAACAGATTAAAGAGCACAAAAAGTTATTTAATCAACAGCAATGTCTTATCAGAGCTCACTTTGTTTTTTTCTTTCAAAGCGGCTTTTAATTTGAAATGTGTTGTTGACAGAAACACCTCCACCCTTTGCCCCACCCACACTCCACACACCTTGACGCGCAGGTGGGACTGGCAGAGGAGAGCTGTCCGGAGCAGGGAGAAGAAGCCCGGATGGAGTCCTCTCTCTCTAAAGGTTTGTAAACGTGATGTTTTTCTGTGATCTGTGTTTTAGTTTTTATACTTGCACAAGTCTGGACTTGGTCTGTTTGTGATTTATACCATTTTTATTTGATCAGCTCCATGTTTGTAAAATTAAATATGGAATTTTTTCTATTAGGGGTGTGTCCCTTCTGAATATATATTTGATGAGTAACCTGCTGTGTTTATGATAAAGATTGTCAGATAATTATTGATTTTCAAGCACTACTGTATTGATTTATAACTTAATCTTTGTTTTATTCAGTGCTTGATCTGGTAATTCATTTAAGTAAGTGTATCTCACAGTGCATTTAAGCCTTTTTTAAAAAAAAAAAAAAACAGCACAGTGGGAATAAATAGGCTTTCTGTTGTGGTTTTAATGTCTYTGCGCACACTTTACTGATGCTCTCACGTTAAACTGAACAGCTCCGGGTGGAGCAGACCCTGCTGGCGTCTGCCCATCTGAGGTGGTGGAGCCTCCAGCTCAGGGAGACAAGGAGGAAAATCAGGGTCAAACAARACATCCGAAAGAAACCGGAGATGGTCTGGTAAGTTTGTTTGCATGAGTCGTTCGATTCTGTGTTGAAAGTATAAATGAAAAAATATATAAATGTTGTTGTTTCATTCATCAGGAGATGTACCCACTGTCTGCAGACAGTGAAGATGAGGGTATTGGTAAGAAAGAAAAGAAGAAGAAGAAGCTGACCAAGAAGAAGAAGAAGAAGAAGAAGACAGTAGGTGTTGGGATGGTACGGTTGGAGTGTGTTTTATTTGTTGGAAGTTCCTACAGTGGATCATTTAGGGTGTTGCCTTGTCTGGAAGCCACATGTTAGCTCCAAACTGTGACACAGCAGAAAACAACAACACAGCCTGCACCTAGTCACATGAGGAAACTGTAGTGGAAAAATTTTAGCTTGTTTTATGTGTCAACTGTTTCGGATGTACGATTAGCTCATAGCATAGTTAGAATAGGTGTGTGTGAGTTTTCTTTGTGATGCTCCACCCTTCAGCTCCACCTGGTCGGCTCTGATGCCACGGTGAAACCTCGTTCCACCCCTGCWCTCGTTCAGTCAGATGGTGTGAACATATGAAGCTCAAAAACTGAACCCTGCCGTTCTCTTTTTTCCTCGCAGGACTCCAGCTCGTCGTCCTCTTCATTTTCCTCCTGCTCTTCTTGCTCTTCCAGTAGCTCCTCTGACAGTGACAGTGAGGTAAGAGGATCGGATTACCCTGTGTAAAAAMCACAAAACCACAGGGAGCTCGTTGTTGACACGTGGAAAACAAAAATGACCGTTGTCACTCACCAGTKTAATAAAATGTTAATACATGAAGTTTCCTCTGTTGGAAATACATGACGTTTCATAAGGGGTAAATTGTTCAAGCATGCAGTTGCCAAAAAAACGCCATCATTCTTATGGTTAGAGATGCACCGATTGCAGTTTTGTGGCCGATCACCCATCTTTAAGAAGTCTGACCTGCAGATTCAGATTTTGTCCCATACCTATTTTTTAAATAACTGTCAGATCTTCTAATTGAAAAACATTGAACAATACCCTTGAAACAATACAAACTTGTTTTAACTGGACATTATGTAGTTCTCACACTATGGGGCAGTGCCTGATTTTTAGACCTTTGTGGAGGTAGATGAGACTTTTCCATTGATCTTATCTGAGTATCGGCTGATCTCCGATCTCCCATCATTAAGGAAATCAGTGCACCCCTACTTATGAACCCCCTAAAAACTGCTTCTTTTCCCTTCATATTCTGCCTGTCAAGACTACCTGCTKTATTTAAATACTTTCCATAATCCTAGTCATCTAGCACCACTTGCATCACACTCACATGAGCTGTGCTTGGGTCAAAATGGTACAGATGAATTAAAGAGATCTCAGAAAGTCATAGGTTCAGTTCTTGCCCCTCTCGCTGCCCACTGCTCCACTTGGGTCTACCTCTTCTGTGATGGRTCAAATGCAGAGCACACATTTCATCATTGTGTGRGAATGTGCATTGATGACAATAGCACATTTACGTTTCAGTTGTGTCCATGCAAATCCTGGTGAAATCGTCAGAAAGTATTTATTAGGTCTACAAACACACCATGAAAACATTTCTTTTGTGAAGAAAATGCTTACAGTATGGTTGTAAATGTAACAATTGGATATTATTATTA